TGTTTCTAATGATTTCGGAGATGTGGCTTATTTAGTCTCAGCAGTATTGAATTCATGTCCGTAATAATCACCTAGGAGCCTAGGAGCTACCCCACTCACGCCCTAGAATGTCAAGGGCAATTATAGAGCTAACACCATTGATCAGTCTCTTTGGGGCACTCTGCTTCCATTCAGAAGTGTAGCGTTCGGCATGAGAATTGTCCTGTACAGGTACCTGACGAGGAAATTGTGCAGATCACTGTCTGTTCCGTCGGACGCAAAGTGTAATGAGCAACCGATTCCGAGGGACGGAGGGGTTTGGTAGCGTGTTCGGGAGCCACAGTGAAGCATGACAGACACCGCGGGAAATCGTACGGTCGGTGCGACCACTTTCAAGGGAAAGGGTCCCTATATTCCTCCGAAGTTGTATCTGAACAAACTCTGCGGGACATTTCCCTTAGTCATAATCAGGACCGCCGGCATCTGCATGCAATTTTATTAAAGTTGAGTGAAGAAACCGCTGCGCCAAGATGGCGCGTCGACTTTGCGCCAGGTGGCCCTAGTACTAAAAACCAATGTCTTATTCATAATTGAAGCGCATAATGAGTATTTTAAATCAAGTCGACCTTGGTGGCGCTGGATTGGCGCTTGTTGGTGTCAAATGGCGAAGCCAAACCATTGTGCCATTGTAAAGGCTTTCAGTGACCCCAACAGTTACACTTTCAGCAAAAAAACTTACATTGCGGGATTGTAGTATCGGAAAAGTGCCAAACGAATTTACTGCCATGCCTCTAAAGTATCTTGGAAACGGAAGGAGTCGGGCAGTAAAGCTCCGAGTGAAGTACTGTACACTAGTCTCTGGATGGTGCCGGCCAGCCATTCCGCGTCACTATTGCCTTGCGCCACCCGTAGATCTTCAGAGTCACCCGCGATGTTTTATCCTTTCCAGAACCCTCCGGAGCCTGTCGATCGGAAATCACCGCTCCCTGTTCCCACACGGAGCCTTATGGACGAACGACAGTACGCTGGTATCATTGATGAGTTGAAAGTGATATCAAACCGAATTAAGAAAGAGGTTAGTGAGCTCGGTTCAAGTATTTGCAGGTCCCGATTCGAAGCTTATCTCAGTGGGAGATAGAGCAGAGATCATTAACAAAACTGAGGGCAGTTTACCCAGCTGATGCCTTTATCGCCCTATACATCTCCACCTTGCCGTTTCCGAACAACGAGTGAAAACTGTTCAGGAAATCATGCATGCCGAACGAGCTGACTGGATGTTCGCCGCGATGGTGATCGACCGTGTGTGCTTTGTGACTTTTTCATTCTTTTTAATACTCTGTACACTTATTCTCTCCTATAGAGCGCCGCATATCTTTGTCTGATCAACGAGGTGCACACCATTTGCCTTGTTTAACCAGAAACTCGCGATAAGCTTGTTACTCACGGGTTCCCACAATTATCGTCGTAGTCTAGTAGATAACTTGAAGGAAAATGCTGTACACTAGTCTATCCCTTTTGCTTGCCATCAATTCCGCGCTACTGCTAAGTTATACTGCTCGTGGATTTTCGGAGCGCGCAGTTTGTAGCTGTTCATGCTGAGTGGGTCAACGCTGGCGATCTTGCGGTTCTTACTATTCAAGGAAGGGTGGTAGTGTAACAGTCCTCATCATTGCAGACCGGTGGGGCGGGTGAGCCGCGCTGCGTGTGACTCGGCTGTGACGTGGCAGCGATGACAGTCGCGTCACAGCCGAGTCACACGCGGCGCGCTCACCCGCCCCACCGGTCTGCAATGATGAGCACCATATGTTCCTGCCGCACGTCGCGCAAAACTCGGAATCGCCTCGCAATCCCATAACGTGGCATCGGCCAGAAATGTTAAGCCGCGCACTGTATACGTACACCAAGGGCAAGTTGCAGATTGTCCACGGAATACGTGAACTCAATCCCTTGAATCCCATTCATTTCCTCTGCACTCTCTCGTCTGGCACTATATGAGAACTGTAAGCCCACGCATTCCAGTTTCTACCGCCTGGAGGGAGGCTCACCCACCTTAGAGTCCGGTCCCTTTCAAAAATTTCTTCTCGCGACTCGCCATATGATTTTGCGTCTTTCACTGTTTTGGCAGCCACTGTCAGCATACACGGTTTCGTCACAGAACTACGCCTGAAAGTTCTATAGGTAAGGCAGCGTTCAGACTTCGCAACGGCAACGCCTCGGTCGCGCGTTCGACGCGACCGATGCAGTAGAATGCACGCACATCGATCGCGCAACCGAAACGCTGCCGTCGCGAAGTCTGGACGCTGCCTAACATCGCAGAATCGTTGGGCCAGCAAATAAGCAGAGACAATAGACATTCTGTCTCCCAACTGGGTGCGCATTTCCTGTCTCCTATACGATAAAAAGGAGGGCTAGCATTGAGGAAAGCGCAAATGGCCCGCCCGCTTTTTTAGTTCTTTGATAGGGGTTTTTCGAGGCCTTTTCAGGCCGCAACGCTTAGGCACTCTGCTCTTTTGATTTTTATCTTTATGGTAAAAAAATGGTCGTGCAGCCTCCTACCCACCCCACTCAGGCTCCACTTTCTGCTCTGACCTGCGTCCATTACCTTGCCTAGCCACTTATCGTGGAATGTGCTTTTAATCCTGAGTGACTTTCTCAACTGATTTGAACCATTTTGCAATCTAGCGCACTACGACGAGTAGCGTAACCGTTTTACGGCGCGGAATAGGTGGCATGTACCTTATTCAGTCCTGTATATACCATGGAGGGTGCTTACTGAATTCTTAGGCGAGCTGCAAGTTTCAAAGGCCTAGAGCTCTAAACAGATTTCTCAAATAATTACTATCGAAGATTTCTTCCGAAACGTTGCCGTGAGTAGTTTTCCAAGTCTTTCACCAGATTTCATTTCTCATCATCTATGATCTTCTATCGGCTACATACCATTCTACAGATCTCTTTGTTCATAGCTAGAAATAAAGATGTCTTGAATTCTCATGCTCTTTTTTCCTCACTATTATTGGACCTGCGTTCAGGACCATACCGGTGTGAAACCATTAAAGTAGCAGCCAGCAAAAAGCAAAAGTCTCCTCTATCGCGAACCGCGTGGTTGGCTATGGAATTAGGGTACAGCATCGTGATGTGTAAAATGGTGGTGTCAGTACGACCCCTCCCCCACCTGAAAGAGGGTCTTGGTACGACCCCTCCCCCCTTCTCCAGCATCCAGCTACCACTTTCCTACAAGCTCGAAAAGTCAACAACCGAGAAAAAAATTTTTCCCAACGTGGCAAATTTCTCTCGAAAGCGCATACGACCCCCTCCCTCTCCACACTATCAAAGACGACCCCCCTCCCTAGCGGCCGAGTAGGACCCCATGTGTTCCAGACAACGGCGCCGTATTGCACGACATAGCCACTGTCGCGCAAAACAGGTGTGATATTCGTGTTCAGGGGACCAAATGCAACCTAATAAGATCAGAGACTTCAACTCAACCTTAAAAAAAAGTGGGGTTGGCTCACCTACGGCTGATTTGCGGCCACCAGCGATACTAGGTCTAACCCATCATTGTTATCTGGTCTTCGAGCTGAACTAACTCTTTAGTCATGTATTTTGCAAAGAGCAATATCTGGTAGGGACAAGCATCACGTCGTGGAAATTGGAAAGTTCGTACGCCCCCACCCTTCCCCTCAGTGAGTGAGAAGCGTATTGAGGTATATGCTGTATATGTTGTTTTTTGCAACTTCAACCGAATAAGCATCTGAGAATCTAAGAATATCCACCAAACCAATCGAACAAAAACACGGGAAATTGAAGAGATTACTTTCTCAGAAGTAGTGTAAGTCGTAGTGTTGTGCTTATTGTTCGCCGGTCGCGGATTGCGCTTTGAAAGTCAGCTTCAGCTGCAGTATGAGGATCTCCTATGAAGCCCACATCTCGCGCACCTTCTCATCATGTGGTGAATCGGAACGCAGCACAGAGGCGCCGCTCAAGGCTTCTAGGAAATGCGCCTTATAGTTCACTTGCTACCTGGAGGGAGAGTCGTATTTGCAAAGATCAATACTGAACACACAGCGAATATACTGAACACGTAAACACACGAGAACGAGTAGGCTGCACGAATACGACTCCCACCTCGCGGATTCCGCGACGTATGCTTGACCCTGCTCAGGTGTTCCTATGATCTGCACCATATTTTTGGGTACTGGAAGAAATTCCATCGGAAGACCAGTCACCGATGGTAGGCAGGCTCGCACAATGTTGGCCAGATGTCACGCATACGCAGAAGTTTTCGAAAGTCGTCCGGTGAAAATCCCAGATTCCACTAGAAAGTGACTTCAGGGGGAAATTTGACCCCGTTAAACGATGACAGCATACTCACCGTTGAGTGCGAAAATTCTTGTGGACGACGCATTGGGAAAGCAAACAGTGGCCCGAATTTGGTCCACATATAGATACGCAAGAAACAGTGAAAATAAGAGTAAATAACCACAGTACAACCGATGGGAAGTGAATTAGAAAAATTGGATAAAGAATTAGAGATGGTTCGTTTCGCCTCCTATCCATACGAACCATTTTCGTCATTACCGTTGAGGCTCATCGGTGGATGAGGGTAATGACTAATACAATTGGTTAAAAAAGAGAGTGGAATGGGCTCATGCCCACTTAATTTGGCGAAATAAAAAGGATAACGTCAAAGAAATAATAATTAAGATGAAATGGCTTATAGAACTCAGATTGTTAGTCACGAAGAGTGAAACTAAATGCATGGTTAATGGAAAAATTGGTCAAGAAAAAGTATAATGAGTGTAGCGGTAGTCCTTGAACGGGACTAAGATTTCTATTAGAGCGAGTTACCTATAATGCACTCACAATAGAAGATGTAACTGTAACGTATCGGAACAAGTCCTTGATAGGTAGATACCCATATACTAACTAATTGCTCTTCCGATGGTATACTAGGTATTATATTGACCCATTTTTTAATAAGCTTATAGTCTTCAGATAATGCATATTTATAGGCTATAAATTTATTGTTATACATACACTTCAATATACTAGAAATGATGAAACTGATTTCATATCCATTGTCCCTTAGGTTAGTTATCATTTCCTTTATTTTCAAGGTAAACACTTCAAGTTTTGTACAGGTATTAGCTATTCTCAGAGTTTCTGTATATATTATATAAACTGCAACTCTTTGTAATGATTGGGATACCTAGTGGGTCTTTAGGAAGGAATATTGTCATGCTGAGATCTGCCTGAAGAGGGAAAGTCGGATCTGACGGGCAGGTTGTGTAGTTAATTAATAGGTATCTTGTTGATGGGATGTTGGGTAGAATTGTGGATTGATACTTAGATTTTATCTGTGCAGAGTCCAGAGTAATTCGTCTTTACGTTTCTAAGTAGCAGTGGTATCGTTAGTACCTTTATGCTGCAATTCTAGATATAGATGTATAATATATAGATGCGCCGGGGGGGCTCAGCTTAACCGGGAAGGATTCCCAATTGTCCGTTGTCTTATACTTGATTATGTACTATGAGCAAGTCATCCATGTATCTGGAGGGAATGAAAACTTCTGCGCTTTTTTGTTTATACTGTTTAGAAAACTCAAATTCCATGTAGGAGGGAGAAGGAGTAAAGGGTCTGCCTAGACAGGAGGCGGCTTAGAAGTTGCGCTCTTGAAGGGCGGTGACGAGCAAATGCTGTTCTTTTGTACGAATATATGATTACTGAAAGCGCAGTAACTGTTTCTAAGTAGGTATTCAATCATGTATATTAAATCACTGGCACAATAATGTCTATAATTTTCTCTATGTTCTCCTTCATCTGTGTAAAAAACATGGAAACCATTAGTAACAATTATTTTTTTACCTGCGTTATTAAAACAGAGTTTAATAATTTTTTGCATATTACTGATAATGGAATCATGTGGTAAGTTAGTAAACATGTCTGTAAAGTCTGCTGTATAAATCTTTAGATTATTATTTTTTGTTTCAATACTAGTAAGTTCATGACTTATATTAATGTCGTCTATAGACCAATATGTTTTAATCGTATTATTTCTACTCATAATGACTTTGCAATAGTTAATGAAATGCTTTTTAATATGCCCGGGTTTTTTTTTTGGGGGGGAAAAATAGGTGGTGTGTAGTTCTTTGGCTAATGGTTTTATGCTGCTATTTCTAGCACCAGTTATGAACCGGTATTTGATTGGACTTTTATGAAGTTTGGGTAGTGCACACACTATTGGTATTTCTCTTTTATCCATGACTGTAATGTTGTTGTTATCACAGAATGTTTTATGTTCTAGCAGTATCGTGTTTTTGTCTTTAAGTTTAATTATTAGGTCATATGTATTACAAGTATTTTCGTGTTCTAATATCTGTT